TCCTTTTAGCCTCAGAACGCAGCATTAGGCACTTGGAATCTGCTGGGATAGCCGGTAAACATGTTCAAACGTTTGAAGACGTGTTACAGTGTTTTGGACTTGAAATTACATTAAAAGCCTGTTGTCTGGTTTGAAGCTTCGTCTTCAAATAGCTATGATGCTTTTCCTGTTAGCTCACAACTGTGATCCTAGAATTTGGGAGGTCGAGACAGAATTGCTGGGCATTTACCAACTTGAACAACAGAGTAAAAAAAAAATTGAAGTAAAATATTCTTTTTGGCTGGGCAGTGGTGGTGCACGCCTTTAATCCCAGCATTTGAGGGCAGAGGCAGGTGAATCTCTGTGAGTTCGAGGCCAGCCTGATCTACAGAGGGAGTTCCAGGACAGCCAGGACTTAATTACACAGAGAAACCTTGTCTCAAAAATAAAAATAATAATAATAAATTAAAAATTCTTTTTGAACTACATCTTAAACCTGATTCAGGTTGCAAGACCCTCTTTACACTCCTAACAGTGACTTGAGACCCAAAGAGCTTTTGTTTATGGTTTATGTCTATCTGTGGGGGGTTACAACAAAGAAAGGCTTTTTTATGCATGCGTCCGAATGATCTCCCGCTGTCAGTTTGGCACAGCCTAGAGTTACCTGAGGGAGTCTTAACTGAGAGCCTGCCCAGATCAGATTGACCTGTGGCCGTGTCTGTCAGAGATTGTCTAGATTGATGATTGATGCGTGAGGGCCCAGCCCACTGTGGATGGCACCATTCCTAGGCAAGTGGAACCAGCATAAACCAGTAAGCAGCCTTTCACCATGGTTCCTGCCTCTGCTTGGAAGTCCCTGCCTTCGTCTTCCTTCAATGATAGATTGTGACTTTTAAGTGTAATCTGAAATAAACCCTTTCCTCCCCATGTTTTACTACAGAAACAGAAATCACAGTTAAACATTAATTTAAAATGGCAATTAAAAGCTCATTTGATATCAGGCAATATTACTTATGAAAATTACTAAATTTTCCAAAAAGCTCATATGTAAGAGTGACACTTTTTAAAATTTTATTTTATTTTTATTTACATGTATGTGCACATGTATGCTATGTGTGAATGGCCAGAAGAGGGCATTAGATTAGCTGGAGATACAGGCGGCTTGTGAGCTGCCCAACATGGGTGCTGGAAACCATATTCTGGTGCTCTTCCAGAACAGCTGTCCCTCTTGACCGCTGAGTCATCTCTCCAGCCCCAGAGTGACACGTAGAAATTTTCACCAGTCCCATAGTGTCTAGCAGAATGAAAAACAGCAGCTTTTCTGTCTCTGTGTTGCTATATGATATCACAAGTCTCACAGATAGGATAGCACAAGTCTCAGAGCCTCTGGAAAATTCCGTTGTGCACCTAAGAATTCCAGCAAGAAAAGACAACTCTTAACTATTGTGATGAAGAGAATTTTGGTCCTTGGAAACCTGAAACTATAGAATCAGCACCCTAACACAGCAAGCTTGCCAAGTTTTCATGTGGCTTCATTTGCTCCAAAGCCCCTTTTCCCTTCAAAGCAGGACTATGGTCATCTCTCTTCCTTCTTCCCTGCATCCCCACCCTCCCATCTGAGCTCCTATTTCTGCTGCCTGAATGAATCTACTGTAGATCTGTTAGTAATCATTCCCTCACTTTTAACTTCTTCAAAACTGTATTTCACCTTTACTAAATGTTAATTTTCCGATAAATAGAATTCTAGACCGGCAGGTATTTAACATCGTTATTAGGTATTAGGACCTTTTTGTTTGGTGGTGCTGGGAATGTGGGTCCCCACACATGCTGAACAAACACCCTTCCTCGGAACTACAACCCTAGCCCTAGTCTTCAGTTTTATTATGCGACTTCGAGACCTCATTTCTCTGCTTGGTTTCAGTAAGACTTTTTGAGCCTTTGATTTTTTTTTTTAATCCCTTTTAGGAAATTCTCAATCAGCTATTAGCTCTTCAAATATTCCTACCCTACTCCCCATTGGTTTCTATCTAAGACCCAGTTAGTTGTATGGCTGACGGTAAAGCTCAGTTGTAGAGTTCATATGTTGTGGTCACGTAATTTGTGCGCAGCATGATCATGTAATCTATGCACATGTTTGGCGTAGCTACGTTAAGCTCATACGCACATGTGCAGGGGCAATCCATAAAAGCAGATCCCCGCATATCCCTCCCGTCTCTTCCTGCACATTCTATTCCCATAGGCCTGTCACATCCCTTCTGTTCCCTTCCCTTAATAAACTCTTGTAGTGAGTTTTGTTGTGCCTCGTGGCTTTTCTCAAACGGTAAACAGTGTGGCTTAATGAATAACAGAGAGAATACCAACTACACTGGGCCGGATGCTGTTGGCTTGCTTTCTGTGAGGTATCTTTGTCTTCTCTTGTTTGCCTGTTTTTCTAATTTATTTCTCCTGTCTTGTGCTTCAGTCATTGCTAAACAAACCCATTTTTTTTTTTTAGTTTTGTTTGTTTTTGTTTGGTTTTTCAAGACAAGAGTTTCTCTGTGTAACAGTCCTGGCTGTCCTAGGACTCTCTTTGTAGACCAGGCTGGCCTCAAACTCACAGAGATCCACCTGCCTCTGCTTCCCCAGTGCTGGGATTAAATTCATGTGCCACCACTCCCAGCCTTTTTTTTCTCCCCCCACCCACCCGAAAACCCGCAACTGAGGACCAAACCCAGGGCCCTGTGCTTGAGCAAGCTCTCTACCACCGAGCTAGGTCTGCATCCCCCAGTTTGCTTTAATTCAATAGATAGATCTGCTTTTCCGGTTTCTGCTGAGGTTGTAGTAGTTCCTTAAACAGAAGCACAGGGCTGGAGACGCCCCCAAGGGGTTCGGAGCCCTTGTTACTCTTCCAGAGGACGGGGGTTCAGTTCCCAGCACTGATGCTGTAGATCACAACCATCCATCATTACAGTTGCAGTATCGAAGGCCCTCTTCTGACCTCTGAGGGCACCAGGCGCACACTTGGTGCACAGACATAAATGTGAACAAAACACTCATACACATAACAATAAGCCTTTTTTTTCTCCCATAACAGTTTCTCTTTATCTACCTTTTGCCTTGGGGCTTTTTTTTTTTTTTAAACATAAAAACAGGTTATAATTCAAAAGTTCAGAGTTATTTGAAACTGGGAAATATTTTCTCTGTAGACAACAGTAAAAATGATAACATTTCCCGATAAGCCCTTTTAAGCCAAATAATAGCTGAATTATACATATAAATATTGATTGGATTCTGGGATACAGAAGAAACCTGTCTTCATCTGTTCAGAGAGCTATGTTTTACTTAAGTTGTGTAAGTGAGATTCCTATGCATCTTCCCCTTCACTGTTTGATTTACGGCAGACATTTTTCTATAGGCTAATCCATAATCTAAAAAGCTTTTAGCCTCCCCTCCTGAAAGTACAGCCAGCATATCCTTTCATCAGCTTACGGTACAAATTCTTACCCTAATAATGAAATGTTTCACTAAAGCATGCCCAGTGATTGGGCAAAACCAAAACTTAAAATAAGCCTTTTTTAAACTAAAATAAAGCAAGAACAATTTTTGTTGGTTTGTTTTTGGTTTTGTTCTTTAGAAACAGAGTCTCATGTAGCCCAGGATGGTCTTATCATCCTCTACTTTCCAAGTGCCAGGAGTATATGCACACCACACCCTGCTAGCATGTTTATTAAAAACAAAAAAAAAACTATTAGGTCCAGTCCCTGGAGTTCCTGCAGAAGTCTGTACATCACTTTACGACATCTTTTAAGGACAATCACTATACTCAGAATGGCTGCTTAATCAAATATGTAGCGCAGAAATTAGCAAAACCAGAGGAAATGGCAAGAAAAAAAGCCTGGTGTAATGGCACAAGCCTTTAATGCCAGTATTCAGGAGACAGAGGCAGGCAATTTTCTGAATTCAAGGCCAGCCTGGTTTACATAGCAAGTTCCAGACTACACAGAAAACCCCTATCTCAAATATATATAATAAAGAGGGTTTCTTTTTTCTTTATTGCTTTGTTTGGTTTGTTTGGGAAGGTGGGAGTGCGATAATCTCACTAAGTAGTCCCCCCCCCCCCCCCCCCCCCCGCCAGAACTTGCTATAGAGCACCCTAGTGTCAAACTCCAGAGAAACACCCTCCTGCCCCGCACCCTCCCATCCTTCGTCCCACCTCCACCCCTGTGCCTCTGCCTCCCAAGTGCTAGGATTAAAGACCTGTGCCACTATAACCGGCCTTTGCTGTGGTGTTTTTGTTTTTTGAGACGGTTTCTCTGTGTATCTCTGGCTGTCCTGGAACTATGTAGACCAGGTTGGCCTTGAACTCACAGAGATCCACCTGTCTCTGCCTCCCGAGTGCTGGGATTAAAGGTGTGTGCTACCACACCCGGCTTTTGATTTGGTTTTTAAGGCAGTCTCACACTGTAGCCCAGGCTGCCCTGAAAGTCTAATTTATGACAACCCTGCTGCCTCAGCTTCCTGAGCGCAGGGGTTAAAGGCGTAAGCCCTGCAAAGAGGATTTTTTTTGTTTGTTTTCTTTACGGTCAACTTGTCTGGATTGTCTACTGTGCTGGTGTCAACACTGAAAACCCAGTGTTCCCAGAAACCCAGCAACCCTGGGAAATCCGGACAGTCCGTTTTATGACACCTAGAGACACGGTAGACTCCATCCCCCAGCAACTCCTGGTTTTGACCAACCCCCCCAACGCATGCGTGCAGCCCCCAGGTGACCACCGGGGGCGCTGTGGTGCGCAGGCGCGGAAGAGCGGGCAGCCGGCTTCTGGAGCCGCCGCTCCTTCCGTTTTCCCGGCGGGCCCTGCGCGGCGCCTGCGTGCTCAGTGACCTTTCCCTGTCTAGTGGGTTCTGTTGTGGCCTGTGGCCTTGGTCTTGCTGAGGTAAGAGACGGACCTGGGCTTTTTTCCCATGTTCCCGACAGCGGGGACCGGAAAGGGGCCGGGACGGAGTGCGGTGGAGCCGAGGTAGGTCGGGAGCGCAAGTGAGGGACTGCGATCCTCCCTGACCTTGGGCCAGCCCCTGCGCCGCGGACTGTAAGGAGGGTCCACGGGGTTTCTCACGACTGCGACCGGGGAGTGCCGGAGTGAGCCATCCATACTGCAGGGATGTGCCTAGGGGTCAGTCCTCCAGTCCGCCAGGAGAGTGTCCGGGGCTCAGTCACGCCGACTGCGAGAATGCACGGCGGTCGGTTCTCCGACTGCAAGGATGTTTTCTGGAGTTAGTCTCCCTGGTTGTACGGGGCGAGGAGTTGTTGCCAGTCCTTGGGGTTAACAAGGGTCTGTGAGGGTGTGCTCTGAGATTATGTCTCTATACTGATAGAGCGATTATTCCTCAAGACTAAGGGGCTAGGTGGAGGCCCTCCTCAGTCAGCATTATGCCCTTTCTGGGGCATTGATACACGGATGGACCTGCCTAACTATATAGGCTTTGGTAAAGGAGCATGCCACCATCAACTGTGAGCATCCTGTTCCCTGGCTAGAATTCAAGCCAGGAAACATCACTCCAAAGTTAGTGACTTCTTTCCTTTATGCCACAGGTTTCTTCCAAGTTAGGCTTTGGTAAAGGGATGTTCGAAATTGTATGAAACTACATTATAAACCTCAGACTGTCACATGTCCCCTCTTTCCAGTGTACTGCCAGGTAATAACTTGCTGTTACTTTAATTTTCAAAAACTTCGCAGGCATAGGCAGTCTTAGACAGCCGTTTGACCTTTGGGGAGGTGAAAAAGGCAGGGTTTCTCTGTGTAACAGCCCTGACTGTTGTAGAACTCACTCTGTAGTCCAGACTGGCCTTGAACTTCCAGAGATCTGCCTGCCTCTGCCTCCTGAGTGCTGGGATTAAAGCGTGTGCCACCACCGCCAGGCCTAGTTATCACTTCTTGACACTTCTACCCAGCCTACGGGAGGAAAGGCGAGGAAATCTTTTAAGTCCTCCCTTAGAATCCCAGTGGCCTAGGAATTGTTGCTTTCTGTTGAATTTTTATAGCAATTCCTTGTTATTGATTGATCATATACTGAGTGCTTACTTTGCACCAGGTGTCAGACTGGATCCTTTTTGTTTCAAGAGTCCTGTGGAGCAAATAGAAGGTCCTTGTTTGATAGGGAGACTGACAGGAGATTTGGGGAATTTCTGAAGTTGAGAACAGAGCTGGGATCCCACTAGTCCTGTACAATACTTTCTCAGTCCTTGCCTATCTGGCAGAGATGCCTCTCCACTCGGTCGGTGGCTTGGGATTCTTTAGCTTTCCAGAGGCCACCTCTGAAGGATATCGAAGGCAGGCCCGTCATGTTAGAGCATCTGGACACAAATATTAGGAGGAATTTAGGGGCAGTTCAGGAAAAGATAATCGCCCCACCCTATGAGTTAACTCTCTGGGCTAGCTAACCTTCAGGCCATTCCTCAGTTTAAGTTCATTCCCGTAGGAGAAAGCAGGAAGCAAGGCCATATGTGTGTGCCCTTGGAGGTCAAAAGGCAGTGTCAGACCCCCTGGAACTGGAGTTATATTGCAGATGGTTGTGAGCCACTATGTAGATTCTAGGACCAGAACCTGCTGAGCCATCTCCACCCCCTGGAGGAAATGGGTGAATATGGTCCAGGTTTCAATAATTCAGGGGCAGCCACTGGCCTCTGACTGGATTGAGCTTTTGATGGATCTGTACTATAAGACTGACAAACAGTTGTGGAAAGCCAGAGAACACTGAAGGGTAGAATTCTGTGTGCAGTAGTGGTGTAGAGCAGGGCCTTCAAGGTAAGATACTGCAGCCCAGAGGTTTCCAAGTCAAATGAGAAGGCTTGGAGCTAGATATTCCTGGCAGCTGTTGGAGTCATGCAAGTTGAGAATGAGAGTATCTGGTTTGGAACCTGTAGTAAATTGTAAAAGAAAAAGGAAACACTGCTTCGGGAGCTATCATATTTGGTTATCCTGTACCGTTTGTTTTATATCCATCCATCAATCTCAGGACTGACCAATGGAGGTTAAAGTGTGCTGGTGTGCCAGGCCTGGCTGTTCACTCCTATAGAAATGACCACTTAAACTTGAAATGCTAATAATGCTGAAAGGAGTGTCTCCACCCAAAGGTCAAAAAAGAGATATATGACTTCAGGCTAGCTTTAGTGGCAGATAGGCTTGTGAGGGAGCCTGCTGGCCAGGAGCTGGAGGGGTGTCAGGAGTGCCTGTGGGGAATAGAATAGCACTCTGTCAAGTAGAAATAATGAAAATATCCTGCCAATTAGGTATACGCCAGCAGTTATCTTAATGTTTATCTCTTATTTTTCAGATGCTTCAAAGCCTTATTAAGAATGTCTGGGTCCCCATGAAACCCTACTATACCCAGGTTTACCAGGAAATTTGGATGGGAATGGGGTTAATGAGCTACATCGTTTATAAAATCAGGAAAGCTGGTAGGTTTCTGTTTTTATTTCTTTGAAGTTGGGGGGGGGTGTTGGATTAAAAAAATTTATTAAGGAACTATGACTTTTTAAAAATATTATCCTGTGTGTGTACATGCACATGATTAGTGTGTGTGTAGGTACACGTTCCATAGCATATATGTAGAGGTATGCAATTGGTTCTCTCCTTCACCTATATGTGGGTCCCGGGAATTGGGCTCAGGTTACCGGGCTTGTGCAGCAAGCACCTTTACCCAAGCCATCTGGCTGGCCTAGAACAATGATCTTAGATATCAACAAATGAATGGATTTAAAAAAAAAAAAAAGGGAATAAAGTAGCTGAAATAGCCCTTGTTGGGAGAGCTTAGACTGAAAAGGCTGAAATAGATACTCACAGTGGAATTTTATTCGGCCATAAAAGAAAAAAAAATGTTATTTGCAAGAAAATGAATACAAGATTGTCCTGCTAAATGAGATGCCAGACTCAGAAAGACAAATATTAGATGTTTTCTCTCATATGCACAGTCTACTCTCGAATAAACACCAGCCCTGAAAGTGAAAAGAGGCTGTTGTTGCATGCAAGAGGAGACCGGCTGGGAGGGGAGAGGGAAGCAAGCGAGGGCGTTGAAGAGGGTATGAGCAGGGCACGCGACAGGTGTATGTGCACGCTGAAGTGAAACCTCCTGCTTTGTTTGCTGATTTGGAAAAAGGAACGGCTGTGACACACAGCCATGACTCTGTTATCTGAAAGCATGCTGTGATGCTTTACCCAGCCTGTGAAGCTTGCAGTCACATGTGGATTTTGACAGTTAATTGACTGGACACTTTTGTAGGGCACTGGTGTAACTGATTTTCCCTTCTGTTTTAGATAAAAGAAGTAAAGCTTTGAAAGGTAAGATTTCTACTTCTTGGAATGGTTGGGGATTGAATAAGGCCATCATAGCTTTTCAAAACAAGTTCTCTGAGTCCTGAATGGAAACTGATGCCTGATTCAGCGATTCTGTAGATACAGTAGAAATACTAAAGACCAATACATTTGCAGTTAACTGTTAAGCAGAGCAGTGTGCACCCTTCGGGCCAAGTGACACTTGTGGCAGTGACAGAAAGTGGGTAGCTGGTGTCCCCAGTAGGAAGGCGCAGGCCAGCTCAAGGCTAGCTGGGTGAGCGTGCTACTGAAAGTCCTGTTTTGGTGTAATTTGGGAGGAAAGTGCTAAATCTGTGCCCTAGCACTGGATGTCTCTTTACTGTTTTACTGGTGGCACTGAAACTGTGGTCATTGGAGACTTACACAGACCCAGGACTGGCTTCCTGGGCTTTGAGGGGAGACCTTTCTCTGCTCCTGCAGATGAACTGTTGCATCAACACCACTTGCACAGACGTAGAACCAGGCTGAGTGTTTCACATAGAAGTGGCTCCCATACCCCCATTCCTGGTGGGGATTTTGGTTGGTTGGTTGAATTGGGGTAGGGGCTTGTTTTATTTTTGAGGCAAGGTCTCACTGTGTGGACTTAGCTGACCTTGAACTCAGAGATCCTCTTGCCTCTGTCTCCTGAGTGCTGGGATTAAAGGTGTATACACCATGCCCAGCCCCCATTCTGTTTTGTAGCATTGAAAATGAATTTTCTGACTTGTTACTTTAAATAGTAAACTATATTCTGCTCCTGCTTCTAAATTATATCACTTTGTTCCTCTCCTCGGAAGGCTCCAGTCCTGCACCTGCCCATGGCCATCATTAACTGCTCCCTGAGTCCACTCACGATGAATCCTGTCGGCTAAACTGAAGCAAGCTGTGTTAGGTGGGAACATGGAACATCGCTGTGCACTTACCTAAGTACCATTTACAATGTGGCATTAATAAATGTGTGTGAGCAGCACGACTCCCTGTGGATGCTCCTCTCTGCTTCCCCTGAATGAGTCCTCTGTAGGGCAGCAGGCTCCATCAGAACCTCTGAGCCGCCTTGTAGGAAACCTGAGGAATGAGCAGCAGCGTGTGCGCTATAGAGATTGGTCATTGGTGTCTAGATACAAACTGATTCCAATATTCTGTAATTGTTTGTTGAGCAGTTTTGTCTCTGCCTAGCATCTGCCTTCTCTGATCTTGTTCTCATATTTTGGGAAAGAAGATCTTAATTATCTTAAGGGCTAACGTAAATTTTTTTATGAGAGTCAACAAGAAGGTAAGGGGGAAACAAAACATTAAATTGTGAAATGCGCTACACAGAGAAACCCTGTCTCGAAAAACCAAAAAAAAAAAAAAAATTGTGAAATGCTGAAATAAGAGCATAAAACAAGCATGGTGGCGCACCACTAATCCCAACCAGAGCAGGGAGGAGCCCAAGTTCTGGAGTTCAAGGCAGCATGAGCTACTGAAACCCTGTCTTTAAAAAGTATTTAAAAAGTAAATGGAAAGGAGCTGGAAGGATGGTCCACATCAAGCAGCTTACAAATACTTGTTGACTCTGGCTCCAGTGGATCCAACACCCTTCTCTTTGGGCATCCATTATACATACAACATGCACACATACCCAGTAATAAATATTACAATGGAAAGAAGGCTGGTGTGATGGCTCAGCATGTAAGGGTGCTTGTCCCAAAGCCTGATAACCTGAGTTTGAGCCACAGGACCTTTGCAGTGAAAGGAGAAAGCCAACTCTTAGAAGTTCGCTGACCTCCACCTGTGCATGAGCACAGAGCGAGGGACGATATCCTTAGAGCACGTGGTAGGCATCAGCTCAGGGAGAAAGTTATATCTGACTAATCAGTCACAGAGTAAAGTAAGCAATATGGAAAAGCCAACGGGGAACTGTGTGTTGATGCACACCTCTAACCCAGTGTTTGGGAAGGTGAGACAGCAGGATCACAAGTTCAAGGACAGCCTGGCCTGTGGAGTGCAACCTTGGCTCACAAAGAAGCCAGGTGTGCCAGGCTTTCTCTTTGGGCCACCAACCAGCACCCAAATCATGACACAAAGACTTCTTATTAGTTATAAATGCTCAGCTTAGTTTAGGCTCGTTTCTGGCAAGTTCTTTTAAATTAGCCTGTTTATCTTTACCTTTAGCCTTAGAGCTTTTTACTTTTTTTTCCTTCTGTATGTCTGACTTACACTTCTCCCCATGTCTGGCTGGTGGGGGCTGCCTGGCCTCTTGCGCTGAGCATCTCCCTCATTCTCTCCTCCCCCTTGATTCCTCCTCTCTTGAACCTAGATTCCTCTTCCTCTGCCTGCCCACCAGCACTGCTATCCCTCTTCTGACTAGCTATTGGCCATTCAGTGCTATTAGACCAATCAGGTGCCTTAGGCAGGCAAAGTGGAACAAATGCAACACACCTTTACATAATTAAACATGCAGCGTAAACAAAAGTAACACGCCTCTGCACAGTTAAAGTAATATATTCTGCAGCATAAACAAATGTAACACATCTTTGCCTAGTAGAAATAATATTCCACGACAACCGGGTGTGGTGCATTATACCTGTGATCTCAGCTCTTGAGATGTTGAGGCAAGAGAGTAGAGTTCTTGAGTCTCTATTAATGACATAATGAATTTAAGGCTAAATTGGGCTAATGGATGGATGATGGATTAGGTAGATAGGATAGACAGATAGTGGTGCACACCTCTAATTTCATAGCTCCTGTCTTGGGGTTAGTTACTATTGCTGTGATGAAACACCATGATCAAAAGCAACTTGGAAAGGAAAGAGTTTATTTTGGCTTACATATTCTGAATCAGTCCATTGAGGGAAGCCAAGGCAGGAACTAAAACCAGGCAGGAACCTGGTAGCAGGAGCTGATGCAGAGGCCATGAAGGGATGCTGCTTAATGGCTTGCTTCCCCTGGCTTGCTTAACCTGCCTTCTTAAAGCACCTAGGACCACCAGCCAAGGGTGACACCACCCACTATGGATTGAGCCCTCCCACATCAATCACTAATTAAAAAAATGCCCCCTACAGGCTGCCTACAGAAGGAGGCATTTTCTCACTTGAGGCTCACTTCTCAGATGACTAGCTTCTGTGAAGTTGCCAAAACTAGCCAACACAGCTCCAGAGGCAGATCTCTTTGAGTTCAGTCTCTACATACTGAATTTCAAGCAAGCCAGAATTTCATGGTAAAACCCTGACTCAGAACAGGAGAAAAAGGCAGTCTGCACCAGCTCTTCTCAGTCTGCATTGGCATGGACTTGGGCCTCCATGTATCTCATTCCACTAGTCTGAGGAAGAGCTTGACAAGTTAATATTTCTAGGTTCCCCAGATACGCTTGATGCCAAAGAGCAGGTCTTAGAAATGGCCAGTCTAGTAAGGACAGGCTTAGCAGTTGCTTCATGAACACATGTTACACAGTGAAGTGCAGCTTGGGCTATCAAGTGCCAGGCCAGGAAGGATTCAAGAAGACTGAGCTCATCTCTGGGGGAAGGTGGTTGCGTCTGCCTCGGAATTGCTCCCCACACGGGCTGGGCAGTTGTTCTTCCCCCATTACTATGTGTCCTTAGTCAGAATTAGCTCTCCATGTGGGCTGTCTGTCGCCCACTGTGAGTAGTGCCAAGGCCTTATCTCAGAGCATTAGACTCAAGTGTGCTGAGCTTGCAGTGACACATGCTTCTCATCTCAGCACTCTTGAGGCAGAGGCAGGAAGATTACACGTTGGAAACTAGCCTTGTTTACACAGTGAGAGCACGCTTAAAAAAATGAATAACTAACAAAAAAAAGAAAAATGAAGAGAATATATTCTGAACCCACCAGCGATTTGGAAACAGCAAGTGTTATACCGAAAGTGGCCTGTAGGTGGAGCCAGAATGTGGCCAAACAATGGTCACCACAGTGGCCTTGTGGGCTGAGAACACAGGTGACAGTTGCCTTTGGCACTGTACGGGGCACTGGGGAACAGTAAGAGAAGGATGGTTTTGCTGTTTTTGAGGAGGTTTCACTGTAAACCAAGATGGTCTGGCATTCACTGTATCCTAGGCTGGCTTCAAATTTAATGACAGTCCTTCTGCCTCAGGTTCCTGAGTGCTGGGGTTACAGATGTGAGCTGTGACAGTTATCTTTCTTTGTTTATAGTAGGATTCTGAGGGTTTATTGGTTGATTTGGGTGTTGGTCTTTGGTTTGGTTTTGTTGTTGTCATTATTTAGTTGGTTTGGGTTTTTTGAGACAGGGTCTCTCTATGTAGACCATGCTGGCCTCAAACTCATTATTCTCCTGCCCCAGCTTCCAAGTTCTAGAATTATAGGGGTGCATTTGGCATTTTAAAGGATAGTTATTTTTATGTGTATTTGTGTGTATATATTTGAGTATATGCTATGTGTGTTCAGGTACCTCAGGCCAGAAGAGGATATAGAACTGGAGTTGGGAATGGAAGTGGCAGCTGTGAGCTATACAGTGTGGGTACAGAAACCTCTGAAAAAGCAATAAGCACTCCTCTGAGCCATTTCTTCACCCCTGCATTCTGGTTTTCTGATGAGTTTAATAGAACAGGAATGGCAGGTGAGTGTGATGTGCATCTGTAGCCCCAGCCAATTGAGATACTTAGCAAGGAGAGCCTTAGCAGGTATGAAGCCAGCTTGAGCACTGCAACCAGACCCTATCTTTATTTATTTATTTATTTACTTATGTAGTCCATTTTCTAGCTCCTGGTAAGACAGAACAAGGAATATTACTGAGCATATGAAAATTCCTCTATAATGACAAGGGAATGAGACTGGGTCTTCACAGTTCACAGGCCAGGCCATGTGCAAGAACTGGCTCAGAAGAGCAGTAAAGGTCCAGGGATACGGTCCTTTCTGCTGCCAAGGCAGAAACGATTGAATTTGTACTTCAGGCCCAAGCAGTCTAGAGGCAGCAGGTCTCACAGAGTTGAACTCCAGCACTGCTGATTAAACCAGACTCCACCGAACGTGGGAAAATAAAATAACTGCTAGGTGGACTAGAGATTGAAAACATAGAAACTGTGAGCTTTGTATACAAACCATATAAGCAAATTTTAAAAAAATACTCTCGAGCCAGGCATAGTGGCACACATCATTAATCTCAGCACTGGAGAGGCAGAGGTGAGCAAATCTGAGTTTGAAGACAGCCCCATCTACATATGAAGTTCTAGGCTAGTCAGGGCTATATAGTAAGACCCTGTCTCAAAAAAGGAAAAAAGAAAATAAAATAGAAAATGAGTTCACAGGACTAAACACTTGTCTATGGGAAGTCCTAGATTCAGTTCCTAGCACTGGGGGGGGGGGGGGCACTGGAAAAAGAAAAAGTATGGCCAGGTGTTGGTGACACAGACCTTTAATCCCAGCACTCGGGAAGCAGAGGCAGGTGGAACTCTGAGTTAGAGGCCAAACTGGTCTACAGAGTGAGTTCCAGGACAGCCAGCAGCCAGTAATAATACAGAGAAACCCTATCTCAAAACAAAACAAAAAGTATAACCAAGAAAGCAAAAGATAAATAATATATTTCAATGAGATTGAAGACAGAAAAACAATGGAGCAAAATTTATGAACAAAAATGCTGGTTCATTGAGAAGATCAATAAATGAGTAAACCCCTAGCCAGATTGATAAATTAATAGAGAAGACACAGTATCAGAAATGGAAAGATGTCAATACAGTTCCTACAGACATTAAAGGGATAATAAGGACTAGGGTATAGCTCGGCAATAAGAGTGTTTGCCTGGCAAGCTCGCGGCCTGGGTTCAATCCCCAGTAACCCAACACATACAGATTAAAAGGACAATAAGAGTATCATGAACAGCTTTGTGCCAATACTATAGGACATTGGAAATAGTCAAATTCCTCCTAAGAAAGTTCCAACATTCCAGAATTCACACAAAGAAAAAATTGCCTGGCAAGATGGCTCAGCTGGCAAAGGTACTTGCCACTAAACCTGATGGGC